GGGGGCAGAGCAGGGAGCACAGGGCAGCAGAACAAAGGTAAAGTCAGAGATGTCTGTTTTGTAGGAGGTACCAAAGAGGCTCCCCAGAATGTAATTCTTCTGTGGAAATCACTGCCTTGGCTTAGAGATCAATTTTTTAACCTCTCTACCTAACTCCCATTTGGAACTTCGTTTGGCTCAATATTCTCAACCTTCGCTGCAAAATTAAAACAACCTGGCTATCTCCTAAAGAATACCAATATCCAACTCCTGCCTCCCAGAAATTCTGTTTAATTATTCTAGGGTTGGGCCCAAACATTGACTGTGTGTTGTGTGTGTGTCTGTGTGTGTATTATGCAGCTAGAGCCAAGAACCACAAAGCTTGAACTAAAAAGTGAGTAGCTGCCATGCTTCCCTGGCAGCACTCCAGTGACCTCTATGGGTAAGGTTCTGTTCCAATGATACAAGCAGCAGAAACCTTGCTGACAGCCTTTCTGAGATGAACGCTGAGGTAACTGGGTGCTGCCTGCCAGACAACCCCACAGCTCTAATCCAGGCCATATTCTAAGCGGGGGTCTGGACCAAATTCTACCACTCCTGGCAACATTCTTCTTCTTAAGAGAGTAAAAGACAGACCTTTAACAAAATAATTTCAACAGTTTCTTGCTCTCCTTCAACTTGAGGCAGAGGAGGAGCCCTCTCTCTTTCCAGGAGTGGGTTTGCTACTGAAGTCAAGAAAAAAAGGCATCTGGGTTTACCAACAGCTATAGCTGAAACACCAAAGTGAAGTGGTTCACAATGATCACAGACAGTCTGTCTTCACTATGAAAAATACAAAATACGGCCCACAGCCCTGGCTGTCTGTTAGAAATGCGGTCTCCTAGGTCTCATCCCAGACCAACAGGGCTCTGTCCTGGACAGTATCTCCAGTTGACTCACATGCACATTAATTTGAGAAGTGTTGCTGGAAAGGCAAGGACTCACTCAAGAAGTGGCACTATCTATGCAGATTAAGTGAAAACTTTGAGAACTACTTTCCTCGTTAAATTAGATAATTTATGCAAGAAGAGTAAAAGCATTTTTCAAATGGCATAGTCTCCTGCTGCCTTAGAAACTCATCTTCCTTAGTCCTCTTCCTTGTGATGTTCTCTTAAAAGGAATCTTGGTTCTCTGAGTGAATATATATTTAACTACACAGATCCAAAATAAAAAGAAGGGCTTTTACTCCTCATTATGATTTCTGGGATATATTTATTTTGCAGAATAAGTCGAAGAAAACTTCACGTAAAAACTTTCTGGGGCTACAACACCAAGCATACCATCTTCAATTCCAAAGTCAGAAAAAGCTAAACTTTAAGGTTACAAAGGAACATTATTAAGCCTGCATAGCAAAGGCTGTATAATACTCAGAAATCCAATTATAAAAACAACTCACTCTCCACTCCAAAAAGAGCATCCTTCACAAAAATAGAAAAAGAAAAAAGGCCCATGTGTGACTTTGGCTACTACAATCTAAGAAAGTTCTAACAGTTTTTCTATCTGATGTAATACTAACAGAATTCTAACAGACGACTGGATTGGCTGTGTGAAATATACGGAGAAAACTCACTGGTGTTAAGGGCCAGCAAGAGCGAACACACAGCCAAACGGAAATAACATGTCTCTTTCCTTCCCTGCTCAAGTGGATCAAGAAGCAGGGGCACAGCAGCCTGAGCCAGGCAACATCAAAATACAGAGCCTCTTTCTTCCTCCATCTTTCAGACTTAATTTGTCATTCTTAGGTCCAGTGAGTCCATGTCACAAGCCACTAGGGACAAAAGCAGTGCTGTTAAGGCATAACCTTGAGGAGGATGTAACATTTAACTTGTGGTTCATGCATCAACAGAACAGGAAGAGCTATTTCAGTGTTTATAAGGGATTTCTGAGAGTATCCATGAATATTTCAACATTCATTTGCCAGTCTCCTGAGTCTATAAAGGAGGCTATACAGCAATGCAGAATGATCCTATGAGGAAGCTACTCAGTCAACTCTATACATTAAAGATACGAACATGAAAAGCAAATGTTTATATTCCCAAGAAAGACAAAAGGAGTGGTCACTTGTGTCACCATAAGCTGGAGTCCGGAGCTTGGTCAGTGCACAAACTCTGGAAGTAGTGACTTCCAATAGCAAAATGCACAACCCACAGAGATAGACTGTAACTCTATTATTTCCTTACACTCTCTGTCAGCCAAAAGTACATGTACCTGTACTGGCTGGCATAAATCCCAGACATAATACTGCTCATAAGGAGATGAGAAAATGCCTGTGTATGGAGCAGAAAGTAAGGTTGTTTTGCTTATGCAATCTCTGAGAACATATATTTTCCTGTCTATGGCATCTGCCTTCCAATTTCTGATGTTGGGAAATAAATCAGTTTGTTGTGCATATTTATAGTCAGCGGGTTGACAAACATCTTATTTGCAAGTGTCCAGCTAAAAAAGCCCCTCTAATTCCACCACAGTTAAGTATCTAATTTGCAGGGAGCCATGTGATGAGACCTGTTATTTTCTGGCCTTCTCTATACAGAGAGGTCATCCTTAATATTCCTCACTTATCTTGCACAGCAACAGTAACTAAGTCTGGTTTCCACTGGTGGCACATAGTCACAGATTCTTTGGACTTTGGAGCCTTTTAGTATTAGAATCCTGGAAGCTAATTAAATTGGAAGTATGACAGGGTGGAGTGGGGGATGTGGGTGGAGAAGGGCAAAAAAGAAACAACCAAGAAATCCCTTCCAACTGTACGATACTTTTTTTTTTTTAAACACAAATGGCTCAAATGGCAGCTTCAGAACCTTTCAGAATTAGACAAGGCATAAGCCAATAAAATATAAAAAAGGCAAAAGTTTGAAAGCCTCAAAACAGGATGATCACTATGAGGTCATTTATATGATGTTCAAGTCAAAAGGGGAATCACAGGGGCTATCCAGACTTAAGCAGCAGGAGCAATACTAAGCTCTGGAAAGGCGACTAGGGTGGTTAAACATAGAAGTTCTGTTTAGAGGCAGGACAACAAAATAATCCTGTACACTTGCAGACATACCCCACACCAACGATGAACTCTATCAATTAATCCTCTAGAGACAAAGAGTCCTGTTCTTTACTGCTCTGCTTGTCAAGGAAAGGTCTAGTTCTAAAATGCTGAATAATTTAAAGTTCTTCAGCATATCAAGAATTAAAAATAACCCCCCAAATTTTAAAATAAAAAGAATTTAAAATAGCCAAAAGAAAGAAGAAAGATGCTTACCAGACTATCTAGTCCTCCTCCCAAGAGATCAACTGCTCCCATCTGCATGGAGGATACCTGTGGCACATTGACTGGGGGCCCAAGGTCAAGGTTTAAAAGATCCCCCAGAAGGTCACCTTGAGAGGGGATAACCTGAGGCTGTTCCAGGTTGGTGGCAGTGGTGGTGCCAACAGGGCTGTCACCTGCATCAGTGCTGCAAGACATACAAAGAAGGGAAAAGAGAAAAGTCAGTTTTACTGGGGACATAGAAACAAGGCAACAAGTAAATGTCAGATATACAAAATACAGGAGGGAAAAACTCTTATAATCATTTGTTGATATACATGAAGAGATGACAGCAATTCTTGTTTTTTTTAAAAATCAAAACAGTTGCTAAAATGAAAATAAATGTATACTACAGCAACCTCATCAGTCAACTTTAATTGAGCACTTACTCTATAAACGAGCACTGTAATGATAACTCTGGGGAAATATTTTTTTAAAAAAGGAATATATGTCCTGTCCTCAAATAATTTACACTCAAAAACCAAAACCAAACCAAACAAACACAAACAAACCCCCAAATCAGCAATCACAAAATGATTGAAAAGTAGTCACTGTGTAACAGCAAAACCACGTACTGTGTCCTCACGATGGCAGGATACAGACTAGCAGCAAACACAACCAGGAGGGGCTGATTCCAAAAGCCCCTGAGAATGCTTTTATGGTTAGATTTTGAAGGACAGAATAGTTATTATGAGCAACTACCAGGGAGAGACCTTCCAAAAAGGAAGGAGGAATAGTTTGTGCAAAGGCACAGAAATGAACAATTTGACTTTAGGGGCGGTGAAAAAATTTTATTTGCTGGAGCAGAGACTGGAATTGGTAAGATTTGGGGGAAGAGAAGATGAGGGAAATACAACTGTGAAAACCACTCTGGAGAGTTAATTTTTATATAATAAGCAATGCAGAATCACTTTTATTTGTTGAACAAAGAACTAAAAACATTAGAGGAACATTACTCTAGCAGCTGTGTGTACAAGGGACTGAAGCTGGGAGAATGGACATGAAGATCAGCTAAGAGTAATTTAAACTGCTACTGCCACCACAGGATAAAAATAAAAAGGAAGTGGTGAGTTCAAGAGATGTTAAAAGGACTAGGCAGGGGAAAAAGATCTTAACAGATGGTGCTGGATCAACTGCACAGCTAAGTGGGAGAAAAAATGTGCCTTGACTCCTACACCTCACAATACAAACAAAAATTAGAGATAAATCAGACATAAATGTAAAGGGGAAAACCTAAGAGTATTTCGATGACCCTGGAATACATAAAAGCTTCTACAAAAAGCACTAACCATAAAAGAAGGAAAAATGCTGAATTGGATTTCACTAAAATTAAGAACATCTCTTCTTCAAATGACACTTTTAAGAGAGAGTGAGAGATGGTATTCTCCACAGACTGGGAAAAGATATTTGCAATACATACATCTGACAAAGGACTTGTATCCAAATTATATAAAGAATTCTTATAAATCTTTTCATCATTATATAAAGAATTCCTACAAAGACTCATTAAAAAATAAGGAAAAGATCAGACATGACACAAAAGAGGATATGCTAGGATTCTATAAACATCAAGACGTACTTACAGCTCTTCTCATCAGGAAAGTGCAAATTAAAACCATGAGATACCACTACACATCCACCAGAATGGCTAAAATTAAAATGACTGACAACATCAAGTGATGCTAAGGGTATGGATCACCTAGGACTCTTATACAATTCTAGAAGGAGTGAGCATTGGTACAATCACTTGGGAAAACTGGCAGTATCTCTTATAGCTAAATAACATCTATTCTATCACCTAGCAATTCCACTCCTAACTACATACATAAGAGAAATGAGTATATAAGTCTACCAAAAGACATATACAGGAATATTCATAGCAGCTTTATCCGTAAGAGTCCCAAGCTTGAAACAACCCAAAGGCATATCAACAGAAGATATAAATAAACTGCGGCATATTTAGGCAATGGGATTCTATGTACCAATAAACAGGAATACACAAGTGATAACACGACATTAGATTAGTCTCAAAGACACTGTGTTGTGAAAAAAGCCAAGACACAGACAGTAAATACTGTATGGTTCTATTTATACTATGTTTAAGAACAGGGAAAATTAATCTGTAGTGACAGAAATCAAAACAGTGGTTCTCTCTGGAGGGTGGATATAACAAAAAAGGGCATGAGGAATCTTCTGGGCTGCTTGAGAAATACCCGACATCTGAACCAGGGTGGTGGTTATATGAGCGTATACATATGTAAAAATCTATTGAGCCAAATACTAAAGATTAGTGCACTCAGATTAGTATAAGTGGTATGTTAATTTAAAAAGTGAAAAAAACAAACTCACAAAGAAAATTTCAGGCTCAGATGGCTTCACTGTGAATTATTCCAAGCTTTTTTTTTAAAAAAACTAAAAACCAACCTTAGATAAATCTTGGGCAAGTGACAACTTCTCTGAGACAAAACTTCCTCAAAATGGTAACAAAACATAGTTCTGTTCTATTTTATGGAAGATCAAATGAAAACATGGTGTAAACGGTAAAGTCTTATAATGTATCAGTGGTAACTGTGTTTCGTAGATAAACTCCCTAAGGGAATAGAGAAGGTTCAGAATGAGCCTTGTAATACATCTGGAGGAGAGAATGAACACAGAACTGCAAAGATTAAAGAGAGAAAAACAAACTAAGAAAGATGACTTAGGAGGAAAAAGTGTCAAGGAAGCCAAGAAGAGAAGAATCTGGACTGGGAAGAGTGGGTACAAATAAAGACAAAAGTTAGTAAGTCAAAACGAGAAGCAGTTTTACACACATCTAGCAAAAAACGTACAGAAATATATGAAATCTCCAATAAAGGGTATTACTTGCACAAGGAAATTCTATCATCTTTTTTTGGGGGGCGGGGAATACAGAGAGATTGATTATTTAATGGAGGCCCTCGAGTATGCCTAGCATGTGCTCTACCACTGACCTATACCTGCCTCCTGAAATTCTATCATCTTATGTACCATTTGGGAAATATGACAGAAAACATGGACTTATCAGCACCTCTAAATAAAGGCAGAGTTTAGGTAACAGTGTGCATACTTTTCTTCACTTTAATAGAAAAGGAAGAGTATTATGAGAAGATATAAGTGAGTCAGATGAAAAATAAATGATCCTATAGTTTCTACAAGTTAAGAATACGTTAAATCATTATTATGCATTTTGTCTAAATGGAAAATACAAGAGAACTAACAGGAAAATGTTTCCCATTGTGAGCGCATGGGAAATAACTGCATAAGATTGTCATCAAAGCAGTATTTTTAAAAGGTGAAATTTTTCCAAGCTAGACAACTATTTACCATCTCACCCCCCACAGAGCAGCTCACAAGTAATTACACTAAGCAATACCAAACTAAAAAGCACTTCTTCCGTTCCCAAGCGATTTTAAAAGAGCTCGTGTTAAGCATTTTTAAACGGTTTTATGGTGTTGCTGTATTTCACATCACGGGCATATCACTTATTAAGCTTACGCTGCCAAAGAGAGCTAGGTAACGTCAGTACTCTTACAGACATGACACTTGCGACAACTTTTCAATCATACTCATTTCAAAGTGGATTTTTCTGCATTTGTTTCCTTTAAAAACACAAAACAAGTACAAATGGACAAGAAGGTTATCCACAAAGGAACCATGTAAGGAATTGTGAAGGTAACAAATTAAGGCTATTAATCAGATAAAGACCTTGCCTAAGAGACTGTGTTTCTTTTTACATAGTTTAAATATTGGTTCTTTCTAGAGTTGTTTTTGTTTGTTGATTTGTTTCACTTTCCCCGTCCATTTGACAACTAAAGTTATATCAGGAGAAAGGTAATTTAAATGGCATGTAAATATGGTTACAGAGGCAAGTTATAACAGAAAATTCGTACCTATTTATCAAAACTTGAAGCACAGGCTGGGAGATGTACTTAGAAGTTCAATGGTCGTATCTAAAGAATGTTAAATATGCCTGTCAACAAGGAGACACACCCTATAACGAGGCCTGATCCTTATCCACAAGTTTCCTTTGGGTGAAAAATCATAGCAACTACTCAATTATAAGCTAATGAAAGATTAAGAATTATTTTCTTGGGTATTTCTTTTTGTTTATCTGTGCTTACAGTCTGTTAAAATAGAGCTCAAAATGTTGACCACACTAATTTGTAAAGTGATAAATCCTACACTCTGGTTATTCATGAACCACTTAAGCAGCAATATATATTAGACAATGGTACGATACACTCATTAATGATCAAAGTACAACTACTCTAACCACTCAGGGATCAAATTCTACTTAGAATTAACATTTATTATAAGCAATAAAAGATTCAGAAAAGATTTCAAGATACCCATTATAAGAGTACTGCTCCTCCCAAATTAAAATTTTAAAGTATCTAAAAAGCAAGAGTTCCATGTTACCTAAGTGCCTGTTCAAAGCAGCATTTCCTTACAGAAACGGATCAATTTAATTTGGTAAAAAAGGTACAGGTAACTGAAAAACTATGTCTGCACAGAATCTAGGCTGCTTTTATAAAACAATCCTGCAAATATTATTTCATTAACAGCTTTACAGCATAAGCAAAGGAATGTCAGCTAATTTTAACCATAAGCTTTAACCAAAGTTACAGTAAAGGATGAAGACAGCTAAATGTATACGTGGGCACACCCTGCTCTACTGCACTTCACAGGCACTGCAGCCTCAACAAATTCAAAGTTTGTGGCAACCCTGCATTGTCAGATGATGGTTAGAATTTTCTTTTGCAATACAGTATTTTTTTTTTACATTTTTATTGATTCATAATCATTTTACAGTGTTGTGTCAAATTCCAGTGTTCAGCACAATTTTTCAGTCATTCATGGACATATACACACTCATTGTCACATTTTTTTCTCCGTGATTTATCATAACATTTTGTGTATATTTCCCTGTGCTATACAGTGTAATC